AGGAATGTTTGCATTAGCAAGGGCAGAATGTGGCTGAAGACTGAGGCTCATAACTGTGTCCCCTTTAGCTTCTCACAAGGTAAAGGTGTAATTTGCTTCAGAAAGAATTCCTGGAGCTGAATGTCCAAAGTGTGTAGCTTTTTGTTCCTGTTTTTGTCTCCCTCCCCCCATCCCTGGAAGCATGCAGCTCTCTCCGAGTATCGCCCCATTCTCTCAAGACCACCTGCATTTCAGCCCCGGACTTCCATAGCAGACAAGAAGTTGATTCTCATCCCTGTCATCTTCATCATCCTCCGCATCTGGAGCACCGTGCGATTCATTCTGACCCTCTGTAACTCCCCTGCAGTGCAGAATTCAGTCCTGGTTGTCCTGCATGTAAGTATTTGCCAGGAAGTGCATTAGGAGGAGGATAGGGGAGGGAGATAAGGCTTTGTTGCTCTTAATATCATTCTTTTTGGTGGCAGGATGCAGCATGTGCTGTAAAGAGCCCCGCGTGTTGCAAGGACATGTGCTCCCCGCTGGCAAGCCCGGCCTGGGCTGCTCAGCAGCAGCTATTTCAGCAGCATCTAGTGGCTACAGAAAATAACTGCAAGGGGAACTCTGGGCAGTGCTGGCTGTGGGTAGGAAAAGCAGGCTCAGAGCAGAGATGTTGGGTGCCGGCCCTTCAGCAGGGCTCAGCCTGCTCCTCCCCTCGACCAGGCTGTAAAAAGGACAGTCCAGAACAGCCGTGGGGCCGCATTAGCGGACAGGGTTGAAGTTTCTGAATCTTTTTCTCACGTTGGTGGGAGCTGCAGACTGTCAGCTGGGCAGTGCTGGTGTGACATGGTGCTACCTCTTCTCCGGTGGGTTCCTGTAGGAAGGGCACTGGATAATTCCTCTCTTGTCCTTGCAGGGAATTGGTAACACGTTCCAAGGAGGTGCCAACTGTATCATGTTTGTGCTGTGCACACGGGCGGTCCGGGCTCGGCTGTTCTCCTCCATCTGCTGTTGCCACTACGATGAGTTGGATTGGCCTTGGAGAAGATCAAACAGCTCCTCGCAGCACCCAGAGCCCCACAAGGACATGCCAGGCCCTGAGCAGACAAAACCCCTGCTTCCCACTACCTGAGCCTGGGCTGCCTACATCTCAGTGGGGATTCCTTCTCTCTTGGTAAAGATCTACTGCGAGTCTTTCCTCCTGCCTGGGCACAGCTTCACGATGGGAGGGGTGGGGAGCAGCTCTCAGGAGGCAGATGACAGAGGTAGGATTCTGCTGCCATTGTGGCAGTTCCCTGTCTGACTCTAGAGCAGCTCCCCATCATGCCCCTTTGGGGTGAAACCATTTATAGAACTGAGCCACTCTCCCCTTCCCTGTCAGCTGAGGCAGTGTCTTATTCAAGCCTGTGAAATGAGGAACCAGACTGCAGAGCTGTCTGCCCACAAGGACAGGACAGCAGAGAAAACTGAAGTACAGGAATTAGTGGCCTCTTCTGGTGTGAAATACCATGCACATGTGTCCAGTACTGCAGAGTTCAGATGTATGTAGTGCCCCAAGTTATTTCTCATGAGGTAATGCAAACCCTGCTCATGCAAAAAAAAGTCAGAATTAAGTGATTCATTCAAGCTTACATAGAAAATATGTAGGAACAAAATCTTGGCAGATGCTCTGTCATTTAAGGCATAAGACTCGGCACTGATGCCCTTGCATTGATCTACTTGTGTGGGCATCTTGTCTGCTTGGGCTTGACCTCATGAGGGACAGCTGCAGAACATGCAGGGGTGTCAGACTTAATCCATTTAACAGCACTTGGGGCTCGGGCTCTTCCCTGTGGAGCAGATACTGTTAGCACTCTGTTCAGTAGGAGTGCAGCTGCAGGAGGTAAAAACCTAGAGCAGCTGTCCTGATTGCTTAGGTAAATGTAAACCCTGATGTGCTGGGGATTGCAGTCTCTTCAGAAACAGTGTGAAAACCTCCTACTGTTGTACTTAACCTGCAGGTGGGACTCAGTAAAAAGGGCTGAGTCTGAGGGGAAGCAAACCTGACTGGGCCATGGGCACAGCAGGGGCTGATCATCCTGGAGATGAAGCTGTGTTGGGTATGGGAGAGTAGACCTCTTACATCTGCTTCTTGTCCTCCGAGACCACAGAGTCTGGGAAAAAAAAAAAATTAAAATCCATTTACAATTCTTGTTGTTATATAACAAGTTTTTGCAAGAAGAGCAGGAGCCTCATAAATTGCCTGGGGAGAGAGGGCAGCTGTCAGGCTCCCACTGCTCGAGGCACCCAGCTGTCCTACAGCTGCTCTTGTTAGTTCAGTCACTTTAACAACACACAGAACAGGTAAATGATACTGTGTTCTCATGGGACTTGGAGGCAGAGGTGAGTCCTGTTATTTCCTGAGTTGAAGACATCTTATCTCTGGCATAGGTGACTTCAGGAGGCTTTGCCTTCTGTCAAAAGGCTTTTACAAACTCCTAAAAGCTAAGTAGCAACCTTGGTAGTTCAACCTCATGTTAATCCCACATGACTTGGGAAGGGGAGCAGTGCTTAAACCCTCTTGCAGAAGGGTAAATCTTAAATTTTGAGACTTAGAATTGTGCTGTGTTCAATTATTTTGAGCCAGCATCAGAGAGAGAGGAGATTGTCATCAACTTGGCTCAAGGGAAAACAAAAAACCACAAACAGAAAAGAGAGCCACCGCAAAAAAAACCAACAACATAACTTAATCAAAATAGACTCATTCTCAGTTTGCCTTTTTCCATAACAGCTCTGAGGAATGCTTGTGGAGGAATGTGCAGCTCAACAGAATCCCATTTCCAGCTCCCAGGGGTTCAGGGAAACATGCTGATTTGCTAAGCCCAGCTCTTGGCAATAGCACCTGGGCCAATACAAGTCTTTGGTGGTCTTTGGCCATCTTCATGCAGGCAAGGACAGAGAAAAATGGTCAAGGGAGGACCTCTAGAAGTGTCTGTAGTTCCTAACACTGAAGCTTGACTGCAGCCTAAATATAGACCAGGATGACAGGGGTGGTGCTGTGCAGCAGTGCTTGGCTGCTCCTGGCAGGTCTCCTCAGGCTCTGGAGTGATGCTGGAGTGCAACTCTCCTTACAGCATCTATCTCTGAAGATGACACTGAACTCTTTCAGGTGTGGATTGGAGAGTTTTAACTCAGATGTTTCTGAAAGTGCCTGAGGTTGGGGCACCTGGGTGGACTTGAGGGTCCATCATGCCTCATTTCATCTGCTGCAGCCTTGAGCTGCAGCAAGTCTGTTGTCCTGGCTCAGGGCAAACCTGTGCACAGTAGGTGAAGGAAGATGAAGCAGTCCTGGATTTTAAATGTGCTTTGTTTTGAGCAGGTGCAGGATCAGCCCAGAGTCCCACAGAGGGAGCTAAAGCCTGCGGAAAAGCACCACTGGAGTGGCTGAGTGAACAGAAGAGGTCCTGCTTCTTCTCAGCGTTCAGATACCAGTTGCTTTGGTCTTAAACTTTGCTCAGGATCCTCCAGAAGATACTGTTTGGCTGTACTCCAGGTTCCTGATTTTCTTCCCTCCTTCCCCTTGCCCTCCACTTCGAATCTTAAATATTGTTTGGGGTTTTGCTTTTCTGTCTGACGAGGTGAATGTGTTCAGAGTTTTGGGGTGAACAAGGATCATGGTGATAGGAAAACTTGAGTAACTGCTGAATAGGACTGTTCTGGGCAGGGATTTCAGTCCTAGTGTGTGAGGTCTTCCACGGAGCTCCAGCCTTGCTCCTGTTTTTCACTTGAATATGGACAATAGTGTGCAAACATGCTTGTGTGGTGGTGGTGATGGATGGTTCCTCTTGATGGTTTATTTCTCCTCCTTGGTGGTTATCATCATCAGGGGCTGTGCTGGCAGCATGTTTACTGTCCTGGGGAAATCTGAACTCTGCAGGCTCCCTTGGTGCTCAGGGATATCTGGATGGACAGCCCTCCCCAGCAGTACCACAGTGCCTGGCATCTGCTCTGAGCTCCAGGTGTCCTCAGCTGCAGCCCAGGCTACAGGCTGTTCTGGCTTTGGGAGTGTCATATCAGAGCTGGGGAGGGGATGGGTTTTGTTTGCTATTTGGAGATGGTGTTTTACCTTATTTACAGCTCCTCACTTTTTTTAAAAAAAACATTTTCTCCAACTTTTACAAAATAAAGTTTTGTTCCTTTGCCAATGTGTTGTTCAAGCATGTTGTGATGGGGCTCAGCACCTTGGATAATTTGGGTGAGAAATTGTAGCAAGATCTTCCTCCAGGATTCTTTTGTATCTGCCTTAAAGACTTAAGGCATGTACAGGAAAAAAAAAAAAATCTTTACCACCTGTTTGTAGATAATATTCCTTTTGCTGTATTTTCTATATGGATAGAGTGAGAAACATTTCATCAGTTTGAGCAACCTGTTCACCAGCAAGTTCATTCTTGCTGGCCTATTGCTACAAGCTGTGAATAGGCTTCTGAGAAATGAATTTGTGGATCTTGTTGACCTTATGGACTGTGGCTCTCAACTACGTGAGATTACAGATGATATGTAATCATGAGATTACAAATTGGACTTTTTCCAGATGAGATTGGGCTGCAAGGTAGGTGAGACTAGTGCTGGAGAGAGCTGGGGCCATCCTAGGCCTTGTCCAACTAGAGAAAATTCAAGTAATTTAATGGGAAAAAACCAACTGAGGCATGGGCAGGCTGACAGTTGAGTGTTGCAGTGCCCATGTCTGCTGTGCTGCATTTAATTCCACCTGTCCTGCAGTCTATGCAGCCCTACAGGGAACTGCAGAAATCCTTGCAGAGTTGGCAGCAATAGACAGGTCTTGGCTGGCACAGACCTGGATAGAAAAATGAACCCACCATGGTCCAAGAGGGCAGTGTGGGTATTTTGGACAGCCAGGTGCTTCTGCTGAACAAAGTGCAGATGGAGATTTAATATCCAAGCAATCCAACAGTTTCTGAAACCTCCTCAAGGTCACACAACTCTTCCAAGAGAGAAAGGACCAGATAGTGCCCAGACCAACTTCTCAGGTTATAAAGTGCTAAGTTTACATATCTATCTGCTCCTTTGTTTTGGGGATGCATCTATGTGGCTGAGGCTCTTCAGAGATGGTCTTTGAGGGCAGCAATGTAAAAGGAAGAAGGCTGGCAATGCCTAGCACTTCCTTTGTGCAGTGAAAATGGGCTCTCCTTTACCTTTTGGCTCCAGAGCCTCATGTCTGCTGTCATTTATCTGCAGGGTGTGCTTATTTATCCAGCAACACCCTTCCTATTGCTAGGGGCTCAGACTGCCATATCTACCTGTTGCTTAATTGGCTGGAAGCCATTTATGCAGCTGATACAGCAGTATCTATATATGACTTATTTGCAGGCAAATCATTTGCTACATAAATCATTGTTTCACCTTGAGGCCCCAGTTACTGCTCAGTAATGGACATGATACTGACTTAACCTTGACCAAATGTGCAATTACTCTCCAAAATGTAGGTGAAAAGGCTGCAAATGTCCCTTTTTTGGACAATCTACTGTGGGATGTCTCCCAGGGAGTCCCCTTCCTGCAGGGATTGCAATCAGCATGCTGCAGTGTGGCTGCCTGCCAGCTCCTAATCTAACCCTCACTTTTCTGTAGCTCACTGCTCATATTCTCCAGTAGATTTATTCATCTGGAAATGAAACCTCTCATTTTAATTACTTTTGCCAAAGACAACAGGATTTCATCAGATCCAGCTTTGAGTATAACTGGGCTGAGTGTGAAGAGTTCCCTGTACACATGCATAGGAGCTCTTACCATGTGGTGGACAAGTGTAGAGAATCCCGAGCTGAGTTCATGTCTTCAGGTAAATGCACTTTGGGGTGAAGAGCAGATGTAAGAAGCTTAATATGTGCCCTATCTGAAATTGAAAATGTGCTTGTAAAACGCCTATAAAACTGGCTCTTTTCACCTGGTACTGGCTCTGTTCTTTGCCCGGGTCCAACAGGATCTGAGCACTTGAAGTTACATCCCTGCAATTACTTTGAAAGTCCAAGAAGGTAGGGGACTACATTTCACTACCCTGAAAACAACAGGGCTCTGTTCCCCTTTCTGTTCTTAGAGCAGGATGCTTTCACCTGGAGGAAAGGAGGCTGCAAGCAGTCAAAGAATGCGTGCAAGACACATGAGCAACTCGTGTCACTCCAGAGGATGCATGTTTTCAGGCTGGCTGCTGAAGACAGGTGGACCAATAGCATGGTTCCAATTTCTCTGGCTGCTGGAGGTATCTGTGAACTTTGCAATTCTCTGATAAAATCTAGGAATTGTAGTCGACTATTAACCAAGTCCTGTGCTGTTCAAAGTAGACTCTTAACACAGGAAGTCAATACTAAGCCAGCAACACGTGGCATACCCTGCTTGTGGAGGGAAAGGGACTAATGTGCTTTGGTAGAAAAACAGCCTGTTCTGTGTGCAATGAGAAACATAAATCAAGAGGATGAACCTGTTCCCTTTGAACTGCAAAAGTGTCTTCAACTTGGTCTGTGCAAGGTTAGGACATGCAGCAGTATTCCAGCCCACCCAGTTTGTGGCTGCAGAAAGGTTAATGCAGTTGAATTTTATCACTGTGGCCTGTAGCAAACCCCTCAAAGCTGCACCCATGGATGCTGTTTTCCATGGAGCACAGCCTCTCCAGCTGCCCCAGCAAGAAGGAGCAGCAGCTCTATTGCTTCAGCCTTACCTTGTTACTATACAGGTAGCTGGGGGGAACCAGCTCATTTAGCAGCTCTTAGAATAAATCCAGCCCTTCTAGTTGGACAGTGTGGGAAACAGTTCTTTTTTTTTTTTTACCCCCCATAAGTTTAAATAATATGCCTTTTAAGACAGCAAAGACCTTCAGCTGATTCTACCCAGCTAACGGATCAAACCCAGCTCTGCAGCTCAAGGACAAATGAGAGCAAAGATCCTGCCATGGAGAGGAAGCTGGGGAAGGAGCCTCCGGGGGCTGCAGCCCCCCCTGACCAGCAGCTGCAGGGAACCGCCTCGCCGCGGGGGGGTAACGAAATCGCACAACCTCCCCCACCCCCCATACTTGCACACACAGCGCGACCTCTTTTAAGGAGGAATTTTGTCGGTCTTGCCCTCCTCCTTTGATCCGCAACCCTCTGTCGGAGAGAACGTCTTAAGGACAGTACTTTTTGCATTACTTAGTGTAACCGTTCTTTAATAAACCGGTTTATTCGTAAAGTGAATGTTGGTTTCGGTCAGTAACAGTTTATGGGCGGCGTGAGGTCGGAATTCTCAGCTCCGCTCCCAAGTACGGCCCCGCAGCGGCTGTTCCTCTGTGGGAGGCGTTCGCCACGTGTTTGCAGGGTTCATTTAAAAAACCCTTTCCAAATCTAGGGAGCGGGGGGAGTCGCGAAAGCATCCTGCCAGCTCTGTGACAGCATCAGCTGCAGCCAGAGGAGCCGTTTCCCCCGTAGCTAGGCAGCGCCTCTATTTTGAATCAGCATTTGGCAAAAGAACATCTGACCCAGCAGTGACAGACTTGAACAAGGAAGAGAAAGAGAAGACACGAGGCAGTCACGCTGAGCAAGAGAATTATAAAACAACAACTTACTCCGGCTGGTAGAGCCCGTCATTGATTGGATGTTTCCTGAAAAGTCCCAGAGGAGTTTTTCTGCGTAGGGCGTTTCCATCCCTGCCTCCTCTGACTGGGCTATAAAAGCTCGGACTCAGCATCTGCAATTCAAACAGCAAAATGACGTTGAAAGGAGGGAAGCAGGAGAGCTCTGACCATGGCGGTGGTTCAAAGGGGGTGAGTACTCCAGGCTCTGTACCTCCAACCTGAGATTCCAACTTCCAACCAATCTGCAGAGATACAGGACAAGCTGTTTGAGATCTGCAGCTACACATGGAGGAAGATCATGAAGATCTTTAGGGCTAACATAGCCACAGCTGATCCCACAGGGAAAGAAGAGACACATATATGTTCTTGAATTCCATTTCTGTTTGTCTGCAGTGTAATGTTGCATTGAGTCTCATGATTTTCTGTCTTTGCCTGCAGCTGATCTACCATGTAACTTCTGTTTGACTTTCCCATTCTCTGCTTGTTTTCTCTTTCCTACTTTCTAATCAGTTTTAGGCTGCAGATGCTTCTGGATGGGGGCTGGCTTTCACAGCAGCATTTTTGCAGAATATTGCACAATGCAATGCTCCATATATGCCAGAGGTTTCCCTAGAAGTGCTGAATGTGAATAATTAACACCAGTGGCTCTTTTGAGCTCCTGGGGTTTGTCTAATGAGAGCAAGACAGCCTGCTTTTCATCACCAATGTGAGAATGTCAACAGTTTACTCTGAGAAAATGTGGTGGGAAACCTCAGCTTCCTTGTGATCCTTACTCAGACATCAACTTGAATTTTGATCTCCTGCAGTGCCTTAAACTCTGCAAATATTTGGAGGTGAGCTGCTAGATCTCCTGAGGAGTATAACTAATATAAGGAGTACCAGCAGCTCCTCAGACAAATGTCCTATTAGGGAGATGAGAGCTCCTTTATGTGGGACCTGTGTTGAGATATAAAACCTTGCAGACTTTAAGATGAATGATGGTGACATAAAATTACATGCATCTGAATGTCACAACATCAATGAAGTTACTTTTCAATTAATTATATTAGTGAGTTATAAAAAAAAAACCAACCAGAAAAGCAGCTGAGGGAACACAGGGCCAGCCTGAGGACTCAATAGCAATTACATTGCTTTGCAAAGCAAGTTGCTTGGAACCCTGAGGCCTGTGTACCCACCAACAGGGTTGCTGTTTAATCCTGCTCCAGATGGCAATTCTACCCTTCTGCTTCACTGCAAAGTGCTGCTCTTAGACCCCACAACCAAGCCCTCGCTGAGCTACTTGGAAAAGTTCTAATTGGCTTCAATGGCAATTGAATTAGGTCCATAAACAGCTTGATCCTGAAATGTGGGAGCAGAACAAATGAATGGGAAAGGGATTTTGCCACTTCATACAAAATCTGTTCTTCTTAAAGCTTTCCTGTGCCAGTGCCCTGTGTTATTGCACTGAACAATGTGCATGTTGGAAAAAGAATAACTGCACACAACTGTTTTCCCTGTGGGGTGGTGTTTTAAAAATGGTAACTTAAATTATTCATCATCCAAATGATCCATCAATACCAGGAAGGAGTAGAATGAATTACTGTAATGATTATGTGCAAATCAAGTGGAACAAAACGAGTTATAATGAAATCAGCCTGTTGGGCTTGTTTTATATAGTGATGTGAAGTGAAAAACACAGAAGGCAACTCTTGGTGTATGTTATTTCTGTTTACTGAATGCCACTTATGCCTAAAAGCCAAACCTGCTTCTAAGGTGGTGTGTGTGTGTGGTTTTTCTTTCCCCTCTGCAGAAAATGACCATCACGCTGGCGCTGGTGGCGCTGATCTCTGCCTTTGGATCTTCTTTTCAGTATGGCTACAATGTGTCTGTCATCAACTCTCCAGCCCCGGTAGGTCGGACTGTAGAGTGGACCATGACCAGGGAGTAGCTTTACAAACAAAACAAGGCAGCAGCCTACCAGTTGATTATGGGTGTTTGTGGGCAGATGCTTGTACTTCGTGCTTTAAATCACCAGACAGCTGGTGAGAAGTGGTTCTTCAGGAGAGGAGAAGGGAGATGGGCTGTTAAGGTGTGTAACAAAACTGTTCAGACATTGTGCCTAGGAGAGACCAGGCACAAGAAATGCCTTCCCTTCTGGAAACTAGGCAAATGCTCTAAGACAGGAAAGCTTGTGGCAACAGTTATCTAGTCCAGGGTTCGCCCCACTCTTGCATTTGTTTTTATCAAGACATTTGTTTAAAGCTTTATGGCACTTGTTAACTGGCTTTTACAGCATGGACATGTTACTCACTGTGCTAAACGTGCTCTGTACTTCATTCCAGTACATGCAGGACTTCTACAACCAAACCTACTTCGACAGGAATGGAGTGCCCATGGACAGTGGCTTCCAGACACTGCTCTGGTCTCTCACCGTGTCCATGTTCCCTTTGGGTGGCTTTTTTGGGTCCCTCATGGTGTGGCCTCTGGTCAACAACTGTGGCCGGTACGTGACAGTGGTGTGTAAGGTTGGTTCCCAGCAGTTTGGTGGGTCAAGATAAGACTTGCCTCACCGGTCACTCCAGCTTGCCCAGGCCATCACGACCACGACCATGTCACACACACCTTGGTTGTAAGACAGACAGGCTGGGGATTAGGTGCTGATCTCAGCAATACGAGTTGTCTCCCATGTGTGGAGGAACTTGAACAGTTTCAGTACAGTCCAGGGCTGTATGTGCTGGGCACTGAGCCAGGTACAGAGCAAAGATCAAAGTCCTGGGCTGAGACCTGAGGTCAGGCCCAGCTTCTGCTGCTCAGGTTTCTGGAGAAACTTCAGTTCTTTCTTGAAGCCTCTGTTCCCTGCAGGAAAAATGGGACAATTGCCATTTTTCTCTTTGAGTCTTTGGAATGGAGATTCATTGGAGTTTGGACAGTGTAGCACAGAGGGGATCTATCTGCTGTTGTGGTCTTAGAAAAAATAAACTGAATCTGTCTCCTTCTCTAATACTTTGCAGAAAAGGCACTTTGCTGATAAATAACCTCTTCTCCATCGTTTCTGCAATCCTTATGGGAACCTCAGAGCTAGCAAAAACATATGAAGTAATCATCCTTTCACGTATTATCATGGGAATATATGCTGGTAAGTGGATGGTAAAGGGAGAGCAATAAATATATACTTGGCTATGTCAAGTTTGTTTTATTCTCACAACAGACGGTTTCACAGGTAGCACCTCTGAGCTGTACATCTGCATAACACTGCTGTACTTGCCTGAATGACTGCTGCCACCTGCATATTGCAGAAGTACTAAAGATCTTGAGTAAACAATGGCAGGGAGACTGGGATTTAAGATGCACAGAGGAGACAATGCCAGATATCCAGTCCTGGGATTGATTGTTATTCCTGCAGGGGAAAAGAAGCATTAAATGGGAGAGCGAAGGGTTCAGAGCCACTGGATTTACTGCAAAGATAATGGGAAGCCAAGGAGAAGGGTCTTGGAGCTACAGCAGCCTGGGTGCTCCCTGCCAAACTGCACTGAGCTTGTGCAGAGCCAGGCTGCTAAGTGTCCTAACAGCTTTCAGGCTCAGTTGCTCCACGGTTTATTAGTGAGTTTGGATACCCTGTAAAGACAAAATCAGAATACAAAAAACTGACATAGTAAAACAACAAGATCTGTGATGTGCAGCAGTTACAATGGGGAAGCCAAGGCAGGAAATGTATCTGGTCCAGTGGTTTTGTTTTGGCTTTCACTCCCCTGAGCCTGTCAGCTGCTTTTAGCATTAGATCACTGAATAAATACTAAGGGACTTGTTAAGTGTGATCCCTGTTTTCAGTTATTTATAACTGCTAGAAGAATCTGGACAGGCTGTCCTGACTTGCCTTTCCCAGCTTGACCTCACTTGGACTGTGGATGTGGTATCTGGGAAGGGAAGGTGCTGGACCCTGCCTGCTTTCTCTGGGCTGTGGTACTACCGGGTGTCACCCTGCCTGGCAGAGGGTGGCTCTGGTGCTGGCAGCCTTGCTGTGACAGGGCCTGAGCAGTTAAAGCTCCTGTCACTTGGATGCAGTAGCCCAAAAGGCACTGCAAGCATTGTTTAATCTGGACAGTTAAAAGGCTGGTTATAGTTGTGAACTTGAAACACTACACCCCAGGAGCTGTTTTCTAATCCTTTCTAGTTACTATCATACTTGCTTCCGTGCCTTTTGGCTTTCAGATAGCCTGATCACCTTTGTAACTCAAAGTTCCTGAAGGCTAGGAGCTTTAGAAATATAAGAGTCTTTTGGTCATTTGACTCCAGGAGTTTGGGTTTTGCATGCCAGGATTTACAGCAAAAGCACAGGAACTGGCAGCTTCCTGGGGTTACTGAGGGTGACTACACAGTGTTCCTCAAAATAACTCACATCCCTAGTGTCCTAGTAGAGCAGAAATACCTACTCCAGCATGCTACCTAGAAAAGATCCCAAGTTAGCAGAGCTCCCTACAAAACAGAGTAGTGAATTTTTTAAAGCTGGCAAGATGTCACATCCTTCACCCTCACATTAGCTTGTTTGGATACTGATTTCTTTTCTTGTTTTAGGGGAAGTAGAAATTTCTCCTTTACACTTTCAGTCTGTTTCGAAATGTGGCCTAGCACACATTTTTTCCTTGCATGTACCAAGTTGAAGTACTTGGCATATCTTGCTGGGAGAAAGCTGCTTTTAGGAAGATGATTGTTGAGTGCCTCCAAATCACTTGCCAGCTCTGTAGGTAAAACAGGCTTCTGCTAGTTTTCTTGGGCTCCTAAAATGCTTTGCTGCTGAGCAGTTAATGAGCTAGACTCTCAAAAGTCCCAGAAGATGGGCAGGTTGCACTCCAATGTCAGAGTTTCTGAGGGCACCATATGCAGTGATGGATTTTGTATCTTTCCATGTATTGAGTGAACCACATGAAGAGTGAGGAAAACATACACAGCTTATTCACTGGCCAGAAGATGAGCGGAAGGGCTTGAGGGTGAGGTTTCCATATGTGCTGTGGTCCAGCAGGGATCACTTTGGTCTCTCATGGGGAAAAGATGGCAAGTATGCTGATGTCAGGCGGCTGTATGTCTAACATTGTTCTCTAACTCCTAGGTCTGGCTTCCAATGTGGTTCCCATGTTCCTTGGAGAACTGTCCCCCAAAAATCTGAGAGGTGCTATTGGGGTAATACCCCAGCTCTTCATCACCGTTGGGATCCTTTCAGCTCAGATCCTTGGTCTCAACAGCATCCTTGGGAATGCTGAAGGTAAAGCCTCAGCTTGGGACTTTTCTGTGGGCTACACAGGGGAATGATTTGTCACATTTGTCATCTTGTCTCACTTGTTGCAGGCTGGCCTGTGCTGCTGGGGCTCACTGGGATCCCATCACTTCTTCAGCTCCTTATATTGCCTTTTTTCCCCGAGAGTCCCAGATATCTGCTGATACAAAAGGGCAATGAAGAGCAGGCACGACAAGGTACAGTACCAGCCTTTAACGAAAGGGAAGGTGGAATGGGATGACCTGACTGTGGGACATGACAGCAGCCACAGTGCAGCAAGTGGGTGTGAAATTCTTCATTGAGGTGTTGCTGGTAGATGGAATTCCTGCAACATTGCTCCATTCTCTGCATATGTGAATCCCTGATTTCCCATTATGGAAGCACTGCTGCCCATTTTGTTCTGTCTTGATTTGAAGCAGGAGAGCTCACTGTAGGCTTGCTCTCTGGGGCCCATAACTCACCTTCCTCTCCCAACTAGCTCTGCAGAGGCTGAGGGGCTGTGATGATGTGTATGATGAGATAGAGGAAATGCGCCGAGAAGATGAGTCAGAAAAGGAGGAAGGACAGTTCTCTGTGCTCAGCCTGTGCACCTTCAGAGGCCTGAGGTGGCAACTCATCTCTATCATTGTCATGATGATGGGCCAGCAGCTCTCTGGGGTTAATGCGGTGAGTGGGGAAGGTGTGTGGGAAAGCCCATTGGGGGGAGAAATACAGGGATAGGACTTCTGAGTGGATGATGTGGGGCAGTGCTGACACAGGAGCCTGTCACAGAACCTGGGTCACAGCAGTGCCCCTTCCTCAGGGACACTGGTTCTGTGTCACACTGTGGTGGCCAGCACCAAATCAGTACACACACAGGCATGGTGTAGAGTCAGTGTCCTGCTGAGGATGTTTTAGAATAAGGTGCTTGTGCCTGGATCCAAACACCAACATTGCCAAACAGGAAGAATTTGTTTCTCAGGCTTCTGTGCACCACTTCCAGGATCCAAAAGCAGCCAAAATGGGATTCCTGTGTTCTGCCTTTGGCTACATGTCAACACAGCTGTGGTTTTGCTGCAGGTCTTCTACTATGCAGACAGAATCTTCCAGTCAGCAGGTGTGGACAACAAAAATGTTCAGTATGTCACCGTGTCCATAGGTGCCATCAACGTCGTCATGACTTTGCTTGCTGTAAGTTTCTGTCAGGGCTCTTTGAGGTCCAGCTTGTCCCCTCTCCCTTCTCTACCACTGTTTATACTAGGTTATGTCACTTACTCATATGGGAGCTGCTTTGCAGATAGATGCCCTGCAGTGTTCCTTGGTTGGAGGCAGCTCTGTTCACCACAGCGATTAATCTTGTTCATTTCTCACGTCTTGCAAGTTTTCAATCTCTGGTCTCCAGGCTGATACACCCTCCTTTTGCTGTCCTGTGTGACCATGCAGGACTTCTAGCCAGCTCTTACTGGGACTGGGTCTGGAAGGACAGCCTGCCTGTTCTCTGTGTTATTGACACATCCATCTTTTTGCTGTTCCTGGGTGATATCATGCCCATGATCTATCAGTAGATTGTGAAAATTTCACTGAATTTCTTAAAAGACAGAGGCTACCTTAATAAATGTTGTTGCAGTAAGAAGTGCTGTGCCCCAGGTGTCTGGTCTCTGATTCTCTTCTGCCTCTTTCAGGTTTTCATTGTGGAATCCCTGGGGAGGAGAATCCTTCTCCTTGCTGGCTTTGGGTTGTGCTGTCTCTCCTGTGCAGTGTTAACTTTGGCCCTTAATCTCCAGGTGAGTTGCTGAACAGCTCAGGTGATCCTGCTCATGAGTTCTTGGACCTTCCAGACCATTGGTATATTTTGGAGTTTCCTCTACACTCTGGAGGGGGAGGAGGCAGCATGAAAAGTCTCTGTACTTGTATATTTACCTAAAGTAAACCCAGGAAAAGCCATGATCCTGTTTGCCTCAATCCTACTCCCATTATGTTCATGTGCATCCACTTGTTGGAAGCAAGGATCACACCCAGGCTATGATTTTTGTGGCTCAGTATGGACATTTCTGGCGCTGTAGGGTGACACTAGATTTAGAAGACCTTCAAAACTTACTACAAATAGTGCTTTGAATGTGTTGATGTTCAGGTAGAAACCACATCTAATGCATAATTTAATTCTTCACAGAACACTGTCTCATGGATGTCCTACCTCAGCATAGTGTGTGTCATTGTCTACATCATTGGACATGCCATAGGAGCCAGTAAGTACAGCCTCATCCAGCCTCCACAGGCTGGGGAAAGCCAAGTGTTACATCAAATTCCAAATCAAAAGCTTTGTAGAGCTAGTCCAAGGAGGTTGAATTTCTTCTCTGTGTGGCCATTCACCTTGTTAATTGTCAGCTGGACTTTTCTATTTCAGTGATTTGTTGGCTGTGTCTATGAGACTGGAGAACATCTGTCTTTAAAGGGGTAAAGCAAGGGCAAAATTGGGCTTGTGCCTGAGAATTCACCCAGAAAGATGTGGAGCAAAACTGTGCTGAGATAATGAGCCCTATCAACTGGACAGATAGGTTTCATGCCGTTGTCTGCGGGCAACAAATCAAATTAGAAGGAACTCAAATGACACATCTGGCCCTGCAGATGACTTTGCAGAATGAAGATACGCAGATGGATGTGGATATTGGAAAGGCTTTGTCTTGGCTCAGCTTCTCAGCACGGCAGAGTTGTCTGTTCAGTTTTGAAAGCCCAGCCAGACCCTTGTTCCACCCATCATTTTTCCAACACCTGCATGTATTGAGGTGTTTCTCCATTGTTTTGTTGTGGGGTTTTTTTTTGGTTTTTTTAGGTTTTTGGATTTTTTCAAGAAGTGATGGCTTAGTTGTTACTCATAGGGTGCTTTCTGGAGAGACTTTGTTTGTCAATCTTATTTTTACAATTTGTGCTAGAGTTGGTTTCATGGTTAGTGTGCTGCCATAGCAGGGAAGAGGTTGATTCCTGCCTGTGAGCATAAGAAATTAATTTAGTTGCCCTGTTTTGTGGTTTATTGGTTTGTGGTTTTTTATCCCTTATTTCTTGAGTGTTTCTAAACAATAGTAGGTTAGAAACCATTGCTGGCCACAGCAATCAACAGTGAAATCTAGGAATTCAGAGTGGGAGAATTGCCTTTGGCATTTCCAAACATGCAACTGCCTTCCAGGTCCAATTCCCTTCGTGATGATCACTGAGATGTTCCTGCAGTCATCCCGGCCTGCAGCCTTCATGGTGGGTGGCTCTGTGCACTGGCTCTGCAACTTCACCGTGGGGCTTGTGTTCCTCTACATGGAGGTAAGATGGAACCACAGGACAGGGCAAGACTTCAGCTTAAAATTAGTATCTTCATCCCTCTCTTCTTAGAGAGCCTTTTTGATCCTCAGAGCTGTACATGCCCAGGTTGGTTCCCAGCACCTGTGTGCAGGATTATATATTAAGGGCAAGAACCTGATGTCAATCAGTGTTTTTAATCACATTTGAGTCTTACACTGATGTTGCACTCAGTTCCTGGGTATGTATTTAAACAACAGCAGTTATTTTTCCAGGTGAATGCCTGATCCTGAATTCAGGAGCATGGAAAGGACTGCAAATTCTCCATGTTACATTGGGAATGTGAGGTGTGTCTCAGGGAGCCAATTTTAGCTTTTGATCTCTGAGCCATCATTTCAAACTGATCCTCAAGCAGCAGCCACCTAAAAATTGCTACAGTTGCTGATTTTAACCTGTGCAAAGGGAGCTTCTGGGTTTAGTTTGATTTATGTAACAGATCCTCACCCTCCTTTTCCTGGAAATCCATGATGGTTTCAAATAAATCCATGGTAGTGGTATGAGAAGACAGAATCTAGAACCACCCCTAGCTTCTAGTTGTTGAGCTTCAAACAAGTGCACATCACTGTGCCTGCTTTTTGTTTTTTCATAGCTATGTCAGGGTCCAGCATGTCCCAGTCATGTGTTGTGCCCAACTGGAGTACTCCTCTCATCCCTTCTCTGTATCCTTTCCTTGACCTAGGCTGGACTGGGGCCCTACAGCTTCCTCATCTTCTGTGCCATCTGCCTCGCCACCATAATTTACATCTTCATTATTGTACCTGAGACAAAGAACAAAACCTTCATGGAAATCAACAAGATCATGGCCAAGAGGAACAAGGTGGAGATTCAGGAAGACAAAGATGAACTTAAGGATTTCAGCACTACCCCTGGTGGGCAGGCAGGGTATTAAAAAACCTCCAGCAGTGATTGTGAGCCAGCCCAGAATTTGACCTGGCCCAGACATTTTTCAGGATGTGTTCATCTGGAGATATATCAACACTGATATTGATACTGATCTTCATTCAGACCTTCTGAAAATCTCCCACAGCAGGAGTTTCCAAATAAGCCATTTTCTTGAGGGTGTTCTCTTTGTAATTTGCAGGACCATTCTGCTTCATGGCATAGCCACTGCCAAAGCAAACTGCCCATTTGTGGTACTGGTCACAAGGAAAAGGCAATGTTCTCAGCCAGCTTAGTTTCTGTGATCAAGTAACCTATGTCCTGAGGTTTAGGTCAATCATGTACAAGAAGTGCACTATATTCCTCTGAGGAACTGTCATTCTTGTATCTTGTTCAGCCTGGGTGGTGCCAAGCCTTGGTGCTGAGGTTGTTCTGAGGTACTTGGTTAGATGGGCTGATAATGGCATTTATCCTGTCAACTCTTGTCCTTCTTTTGTGTGCTTCAAAGGACCACTAAACTGGAATACATATCACTGTGATCTCACCCCACTCTGTTCACTCAGCTGTCCCCTTCAAATCAAAACTAGTCCTCAGCTGTTGCTGTTGAGTCCTGAAGCCTCATTTTTGAGGTTAGGAGTCATCATCTGGCTGATGTTTATTCACAGCCAATTTATATCCGTGTGCTCCAGTGGCACTCTAGTCTTTGAGCTCTTTAGCTCATTTCACTCCCTAGTGTTTACACCTCAGTTGCCAAAGAGCAACAGTCCCTCTCTTAATCCCTCTCATAACTCTCGTGAACCAGTTGGAGCTCATTTGTCTCCCAGATACAATGGCACTGAACTCAGCAAGAACCTCCCTGCTGCTTCCCAGGAGTCGAATTCAGGTTGATTTCTGTGCAGTGGGCTACAAGTTGGAGCCTGTGTTTGCAAACGTGTCCAAATTTGTCTTCAGCTTCTCACTTTGAGTTGCTTAGTCTCAGTTTTTGAAATAACTCAGCTCCCAGGTACTGGAAATCAGTTGAAAAAAACTTCATATGGTTTAGAGGTTGGTCCTTCTGCTGGTTTCTGGTTGTGTCCCCTAAGGGCAAAGTTCAAACTGATGGCTAAATTGGTTTGGAAGAGCTCTGAGTCTGAGGGACTAGTGCTGACAGAAGAAAGTAAAGTGCACACTGATAAAAATTGAGTATTTCTTAAAGTATTTATTAGTTTAAGAGGTTTGGGGGTTAATTATGGCATATTTTAACATGGGGAAAGGCAATTTCGTTAATAGTTATGTGGGGCTGCTGCCCTCTTCTGAAAAAAGCAGAAATGTTGAACAGCCTGCAATGGATTTTGTGTTGTTGATGGAGATATTCTTTCACCTGATTTACTGGAACCTTGTGAGTTTTCTACCTGCCCTGAAACTTGTGATGTCTACATGTTGGAAAAGCAGCTGTTCCCATGCCCAAGTGGCACTGATCAAATCACAGTGATGGCATAAGGCCACACTGTCCTGCAAGGGCTTTACCTGTCCTTTGCTGTGTGATAGGCCTGCAGGGGAAGGGTGGTGATTACTGGTGAGAAACTGGGAGGGAGGACACATGCCAGGGGGTGATGGTGAAGAGCTGAGACTCAGTGAAGAATGTGAGAGCTCTTTAACATGTAGGAAGTTTGTGTGTAGGGACTTAAGTCAAACTCTTGGGAGGGATGTGCCAATCCAAGATGTTGGACTGTGCCAGGTTCTGCTCTGTTCTTTACCTCTCTCCCAAGGATGAAGGCTTTTCTCCCATGTACCTACTTGAACAAACAACATAGAGCAGTGGCAGATGCACAGTGAGCCTGTACAAAGCAGAAGGAATAAACAAATAATCCAAGTTTCTTTCTGCTTTCCCAGCAAGCAGTTTGGATCCTACTTTCCTAAAAAATATTTTTAAAAATTAATTTTAAAACCCCCAAAAATAAGGTGGGGATCACTGACAGCTGGTGTCACACTCCAGAACCACCCCTCCCAAAAGGGTCATGGATGTTTCTCCCCATGATATGATATCTCCCTTCAGTTGTCCTGGCTTGCACAGTGCAAGTGCCCGGATGTCTTCAGGACTGAGAACGTGGCTCCACAGGTTCACCTGAGTCATCCTCCCTGCAAAACCATTGGAGAACGTCCCAAGAAGAGTGTCTCTATCTTTTCCAAGGACAAGTGTCCCTCCAGCCTGGCTCACATACCCCTTCTGGATACTCTTTGCTTTACCAGCTGCTCCATTGAGCCATAAATTTGCCATTCCAGACTGGGAGGCCCATGCCATGCAGTAATGAAGCCAACCTTGTGCCATGTGATACAGGGGGAAGCTGATGAAATGGCCTCCTATCCACAATCCCACATCTGAGCCCACGGTCAGCACTAGCTCATTATCCCTCTCCTGTGTGGAGTAGGAAAGAACGGTCTGACTGCCAACACTCTGGGCCTTTGTCCAGAAGCATAAAGTGAAGGCTTGGAGAGACATACCATGGAGGGGATGAACATTCACAAAACTCTCAATGTTTTCCACAGGGAAGTAGAAGGCGGGAAAAGTGCTGGATGTCATGCCTGAAATAACCAAAAAGCCAGCTGTTACATTTCCTGCTGTGCTTAAAAATTCAGCCCAAATCCTGAAGAGTACACCCATAGGAACTGGCAGGGCTGTGGCAGCCTTAGCTGTTTGGAGCTGCAGTTCCTGGCAGGGGACAAACAGGGAAAGGGCTTGAGATGATGAAAAGCTTAGCTCCTTCACCTGTCTCTTTAGGAAAACACTTTTCCCCCTCTTCCTCTTGTCTTAACTTGTGTAAATAGAGGCAATTATTATTTAACCTAGGGAAGCTGTGAACTTAAATCTCTCAGTGTTTGTAAAAAGGTGTTTATATGTTGTAGGAGAATGCTGCACTTGCTGTGAGAGTAGCTAGATTAGGGCTAGCTTTTATGATGCTGTAGTTGAAGAATTTCCACTGGTAGATATAGACATGGGACAAAATTCTATCTGCACATATTGGTACCAAGCCTGTTAATGATTTAGGCCATAAAGGACAGCAGGACATGGGCTCTTCAACCTTGGAAGGTAAGCTGAATTGAAGAATAGATGTGTGTTTCTTACCTATGTGGCTCACTCCATTCAGCAACTCTCTCTTCATGTCTTGGAGCTGCATCTGGATTTGTTCCAGTCTGATGCTGAATTCTTCTGGATAGCATTGTTCTAGAGCAATCAGACAGCTGCATTTACAAAAGGGCAGAACTTGCACATGATAGATTTTCTGCTTTCTAGTTTGTAGAATGTTTGGGGGATACCTTTGTTTTAAAATCAGCATCTCATCTCTGTAGCCAGCTGTGCCAGAGTTGTTTCTGCAATGATTAGTGCACTTCACCCACATGGATGCAAACAGATCTGAACCTTGCATTCTTGGTGGTCCCATGGAGCACCACTGATCTTGAGAGATCTGTGTGACATGACTGCAGTCCAAACAAGGGACTGGCATGCAACCCACAGCCACCACTGCGGTGTTAAAGCAAGATGTGTTGGCAGTGGGCAAAGAGGCACATGGGCCACCTCCCTCTGGTGTGCAGGGACACTGCTACTCCTAGGAAAGGTGATCTCCACCATGCCTAACATAAGCAATTTGCAACTTAACTCCTTCCACTTAGTTTTCTTGCTCCTCCTGGGGGTAAGCCTGAGTCCTGACTGCCTTTACCTGGGGTGGGTTTGGCTTGGAAGGAGGATTCCACCACCCTCCCGTTGAGGGGCTGGGCGTGCCGGTAGTCGTTGCGCAGGGTCCTGTTCTGCCCGTCCAGCAAGGTGTTCTCCAGCAGGCTGATCTGGGAGCAAAGCAGGTTTGTGATGGAGGGCAACAGGGACAACAGTTTTGCCTGGAAGTGCAGTGCAGATCCTGCAGCTCAGGATTAAAGCTGGCAATTTGTAATGGAGGAGCCCACCGGGTCTCTTGCTGAGTAATTAGTAAGGGAAGGGAACAGAACATGAGAGCTCTTATCAGCTAATTCATGATAAATATATTTTGCCTGAAGGAAATTTGAACACCTGTCTGATAGTTATGCATGGGTGGAGATTTTGCTGCTCTTCTGTATCTTACTGCTTCCTCACAAGTGCTTACTAGCCTCCTTCCTAGAGGAAAAACTATTTCTTTTTCAAATGAGAACACATTCTCCACTACCACAAAATCCACTTTATATTATTCTTCTCCTGGAAGAAAATGTTTCTACTGCTCCTTTTTCATTAAGGCAGGTGAACCACTCTCCAAGACTTCGCAGTAAACTTATTTTATTTCTGTTAATTTTTCCCCCTTCTAGAACCTTTGTCCTGACAAGGCAGACAGAAGGGGGAAAAGGGGATCCTGCCATGTGATGACTTTGAACTGCTGGAACAAGTGGGGTTTCTGTCCTGTGCTCCTGTGCCCTCAGCAAGGTCCTCTAATGCCTCTGCCAGAGACTGGACAAGCCCTCTCCTGTCACACAAAAAAACTCACAATGATCCCCTTTGCCACACAATGTAAGCACAGACAAGAGAAAAAAACACACCCAAAATATTCTTCTAAAAATGTGCCAATTGTTCTATAATTATTGTACTGTTATTAATGGCTCTTATGGGGGTTTGTTTTATGGACTCTCCTGCAGTAGTTTTTGCCTCGTTGATTCTGACTGGTCTCTTTAGCACATCAGTATGGTTGAGCTCAACTAAGCAGAGAGCTTTGTTATTGCTCACCAGACCTCAGGTCAAGTGCTGCTGTACAGAAACTGACCCTTGCTGGGATGGAGCATCACGGTGTCATTACAGCCACCTGTCTTTCCAGTGGCTTGGGAATCTATCCAAAATGTCCTGTTACCTCCTCTGTCAGGCTGGGCCCAAAATCACTGGAGGACAGAAAAGGAACTTGGGTGGAAACGTGAAGCATGGAGGAAAGAGAAGTTGCTCTGTCTGGTAAAAAGCTGCCATTTACCTGTGTGTGTGACAAGACAATTGGAGAATGAAAGATGGTCCAGATCACACTCTCA